GGGTTCAAAATGTCTCAAATGTTGGGTTCTTGAGCAAGCTCAACGGTAAACTACCACATAATAAATTGTTGCAGTCTATCTACTTCAAGAATCTGCTATCCAGAAATGGCCATCCACTTCGGCATCGGGCACCTCATCCAGGTCAGGGCCTCGGCCTCTTACTACAGCGGTCGCCGCTCGACCTTAACACTCACTTGCTATCCAATCAAGGACTTGAGGTGCTAAGACGAATGGATAAACTTAATGTAGTATCTTGGAACGCTAGGGGGCTATGTGATGGGTCTACAAAAGGCAAAGAAACTCGACTAAAATTGTGGTTACATCATCAGAAGGTGCATATCGCCCGCCTACAAGAAACCAAACTCGACGAAAAATAAAAGACATGAGCTCGACAACTAGTGGGATCCTTCTGCATAGGGACTTTCCAATCCAGATTCTAGACTCCGCAACAGATCTATGGGGCAGGTGGGCTTGGATTAAGCTCTTGGCATACGGGTAAAACAGGACAATCATCACGGTGTACGCGCTTGTGGATAGGAAAGAACGTAACAATTTATTTGAAGATCTAATAGCATATACCCCAGACGTCGATAACCTTTTGATAGCAGGTGACTGGAATAGCTCCTTGGATGATTTGACAGGTTCAACAGGCCGCTTGCTAGATACATACTCTCTAGTGGAATTCATGACGGCCCTAGATCTTTGCGATGCATTCAAGCCGATCCATCTCACAGATCCAGACGTTATCTGGGGCTCCCTAGCCTATGATGGTGACAACTCGGACTGTCTCAGGAGATTAGACTATGCGCTACTTAGTCCTACCTGGTGGGACACGGTACTGAATATTGAGGTAATTCACCACCCCACATCGAATCACTACCCAGTTAAACTCACCTTTCATATGTTAGACACGATAGTCCGAGGTAACGTTTTTTTTTTTATATTGAATGTGCAGAACCTCAAGGGCCTAGACCTTGCGGCCTGGGTAGAACACGTTTTTAGTAATTGACCAAAAACCTAGCACCACTTCCAAATAGTTGGAGCCTGGTGGGATCCAGGACGACCATCGCTACCAATTTTCTCAGCACATTCTCACGTATCATGGCAGCGGAACGCAACAAGGAGGAATCAGAAATCCCTAGGGACCTTCAATGGGTAAAAGATCCCATACATCTACACCCCATCTCAGCAAAAGTCTGGGCTCCCGAAAGAATCAGATTGTTGTCCATGTGCGACAAGATCCAACAAGATAAGGCGGAGGAATGGGCCAAAAGATTGACAGTGAAAGGCATCTCAGTCTATGACCGAATGACCAAAGAAGCTTTTCATAAGCTGCTACCTAAAAGGTTTGCGCAGTCCATGAAAGTGTTAAACCATCCATTTGTACCTGAAGCACGAGCGGCCTCATCCTCTAATGCAATGTGTGATTATGTGGTAATGTATTACAAGGATATTCTAACGTCCCGCGGACAAGGAGAACCCCCGGACACGAATCTTGCGGACACCATAAATCACTGGGAAAACCTAGTAGTCAAACTCACAAATAGTGGTAAACTTGATCTTGATCGTCCGGTTATAGTCGAGGAGATAGAGGCAACTATCAACAACATGGCTAAAGGTAAATCCACCGGCGAGGAGGATCTGTCAGTGAAATTTTATCTGCAATACGACAAGCTCTTATTTCTACACCTGGTGAGCATATTTAATGAAGCCCTCAATGGTGGACAACTATCATTACGGATGGGATCATCACCATTATATACAAGAAAGGCAACAAGGCGGAAATCCGCAGCTGGAGACTTATTTCTCTCCTCAATGTATCATACAAAATCTTAGCCAAGCTACTAGCAAATAGACTAGATAGATATCTCCCAAATTTGGTTGATCGGGACCAAGCTGTTTTTGTCCAAGGCAGATTCATATTTGACAACATTGTTACCACTCTTGAGACTCTCGAATGGGTGGACACCAAAAATCTAGACATAGCAGTGATGCCTCTGGATCTAGAGAAGGCATACGACAGAGTTAATTGGGCCTATGCGCTCACTACGCTCAAACATTTGCATTTTGACCCTAATTTTTGTTGGTGGGTTTTGTTCTTTATGCATTCTCAATGAGTAACCATATCACTGAGGCAAAGGTTCCCTCTGGCCCCTTTGCTCTTCGTGATACGGTTGGAAGTGTTAATTACCAACATCAGAAGCCACCTGGACATCCGAGGCTTACCAATTCAACATCCTGACAGCCACGTCAAAGTGTTTGTTGATGATTTAATGACAATCTCTGAAAACTGTGTGGAATCACTACAGACCGTTAAATCATGCTTGGTCGAGTACGCCTCCCTGTCCGAAGCAGCAGTTAATTGGGCTAAGTCAGCATACTTTCTCCCATAAGGATAGACACTAGCAGTGAAATGGAGAATGCAACAGATCGCTGGTGGTAACTATGAGAGGTACTTGGGGATGTGGGTCACCCTTGGGCACTGTGCGGAAGCCCAAAACGACCTGCTCCAACAAAGAATCGTACATCGAATCAATATTTGGGGTTGGGTCCAACATTTGTTGATATTCGGACGAGCTTTAGTAACTAATGTGACCTTGTTTGCTCTCCTATGGCACGTGGGATCGATTAAAGCATTAGGCAAACAATTAATAAACGTCGTCCGACACGTGACAACAATTTTTTTTGTGGAAACCGTTTGCAATAGTTTCATGTCCAAAGTCGCCTGTGATCTGATCTGCTACCCCAAGGCAGGAGGTGGACAAGGTTGCTAGATACTGCAAGTCAGAATGCTACACTTTTGCTTAAATGGATTATTAAGGTTGTCTCTAATACCACTGATGACCATTGGATCCCTCTGGTCGAGCAAATTATAGCTCAAGATTGGAACTTGCCTAGATCGAAAGGCGTTTCGACATGCATTATTAGATTCATACTTGCGCGAGAGGCGGTTAACGGAGACCCAAAATTTCAGCCTTTTTTTAATGTTATTTATAAGAAACCCCGAAGGTATTTTGAACCAAAAATTGCGTTATTCCAAAGAGTGCACAACATATTAACAAACGGTCAAAAAACAAAAAAAAAAAAAAAAAAAAAAAAAAGGGTGAAACGGTAAGGCAAACATGCACTTGAATGAAATTTTCGTTCCATAAAATTTTCAGAATTTTTAGTATTTTTTTAAAATGATCACAACAAACCATTCCAATGGACGAAAACACTCCAGAACATTGAGAAACGGTCACCAGATCAAATTCCAGCAAAAAAAAAAAAAATCAAAATTTTGCTAGGCTGCCAGTCGGGCCATCCGGGCCACCCTATTTTCCGGGCGGCCCGGTCGTGCAAGGACCGGGGAAGGTCCCAACCAAAAACAATAATAATTTAAAAAAAAAAAAAAAAAATCTGAAAACAAACTATGTTATGCAAAAAATTAAATTGAACAACTTTTGCCTTAGGGTCACATCAAAATTCTTTATAAATTTTAAATTAAGAAGAAATCTAGGGAGATTTCCCGGGCGACCAGTCCCAAACTCACGCCCGGATCGGTGCCCAGGCGCCCAGTCGGTCACGAGGCCCAGTCGGGCTCCCGGGCGATAGAGGCGCCAAAAAAAAAAAATGAAAACGCTTGATTTCAGGTCTGGGGGCTGCCTACGGGCCTGCGGACCCCCCAGGCACCGAAACAAAAATTGTGCAACGGCCTTACTGGCTGCATAGGCCTTCGGAACACTCGCCCCCTCTGTGCCCGTCGATCTCGACGGCTGGGAAATTGCGCGGGCAAAGCCCATCACCCCGCACGATTTCGAAGTGTCGCCCCACTGCGCCCGCCCGCTGCCCATCGGTCGTCTCCCGTAAGTCCGCCATCGACGTCTTCTTCTTCTTCTTCTTCTTCTTCTTCTTCTTCTTCTTCTTCTTCTTCTTCTTCTTCTTCTTCTTCTTCTCGTGTGTGTGTGTGTGTGAGAGAGAGAGAGAGGTCATCACTCCACGCGATTTCAAAGTGACTCCCCGCCGTGCTCACCCGTTGCCCGTCGGCCATCTCTCGTAAGTCCGCCATCAACTTCTTCTTCTTCTTCTTCTTCTTCTTCTTCTTCGTCTTCTTCTTCTTTGTATCTTCTTCTTCTTCTTCTTCTTCTTCTTCTTCTTGTTCTTCTTCTTCTTTGTCGTCGTCGTCGTCGTCGTCGTCGTCGTCTTCTTCTTCTGCTTCTTCTTCTTCGTATCTTTTTCTTCTTCTTCTTCTTCTTCTTCTTCTTCTTCTTCTTCTTCGTCTTCTTCTTCTGTGTTATTTAGTCCCACGCTCGGCTCGTGGGGACCAACGAGTCGGGAGAGCCGTACTCGTAGTACAGGAAAAAGAAACGAGGCTTCATTGACGATAGAGAGAGAGAGAGAGAGAGAGAGAGACAGGTAGAGAGAGAGCGTTTCTCCTCCGTCCCGTTTCGCCCAACTCTCACCGCCGCCCTCCACCGTCACCTTCCACCATCATTGCTCCATTGTCGTTCTCCATCCTCCCTGCTCTCTCCATCGCATCTCTCCCAACTTCCACATCGTCCTTCCACCATCACCTACCCACCATCATCCCTCCATCGTCATTCTCCCTCCTCCCTCCTCTCTCCATCAAATTTCTCCCAACTTCCACCTCCGCCCTTCATCGTCACCTTCCACCATCACCCTTTCATTGTCGTTCTCCATCCTCCATGCTCTCTCCATCGCGTCTCTCCCAACTTCCACGTCGTCCTTCCACCATCACCTACCCACCATCACCCCTCCATAGTCATTATCCCTCCTCCCTAGACCTCCCTCCCTCAATCTTTTTGTTTTTATTTTCCCTCCCTCCACAGACCTTTCGCATTCTCTTCTTCTTGTTGTTGTTCTTCTTCTTCCTCTCTTTTTTTTTTGGTCCCTCCTCCTTGGACAACATGTCTTCCTCATGCGGCCCCTCTCGCAGCAAGGATGATGGTGGCAGCAAGGGCGATGGTGGAAGCAAGGGCAATGTCGGCAGTAAGGGCAAAGGCGGCAGCAAGGCAAAGGCGGCAGCAAGGGCAAGGGCATGGCGACCGGCGAGAAACCGCCATTCGATCCTGCACCGGAAGCAAAGCAGATGGAACTGGAGAAGAACAAACCAGCGTACAGATGGTTGCTGCATGGACAAGAGGCGGAACCTTTGGGGTACAACAACTATTGGCACAAGTGCAAGATGTGTGGTAGATTGTGGACAACGTCCTACACACATGTTGTCGCTCATTTCACAGCACGGAGGGACCCACGTTCCAGGCGGACCGGGGAGATCCTCCATGTCCTCGCCAACAAGGGGGCGAAGATCGAGTGCCCCATCACGCGTAGAATCATCCAGTTGTACCAACGGGATAACAACATCGCAGACGGATCAAATCCACAACCTGTGGTAGACACTGCGGAGGAAGGCACCTTGGCGGACTTCATAGTGTCGCCGTCAGCGCCAGGCAGAGAGGCTGTTGGCGAGAGTGTGGATGGGCCTGGTGGGGTGACAGATGACAGATGCACCGGTCGTGAGGGAGGAGCGGACCCATCCGTCACAGGATCTGTGACAACACGGTCATCCACCAAGTTGCAGCAAGCTTCCATCCGACGCTGGACAGAGAACACCTCGCAGCAGCGCTTGGACGTCGTGTGGGGATTTCATTTGTATGAACATGGGGCTTCATTCAACTACATGACAGGGGAGAAGACGCAGGAGCTTCATGAGTTGTACTTGAAGTTGAGGGAGAAGAAACAAAGGGTGAAGATGTCGAACAGGATGCAGATGGCCACCGTTGTCCTTGACATTGCATACGAGCAGACACAAGAGGCGAGGAGGCGCTGATGGAGGGATGGGACATCAGCGGCTGCACATTGATCACGGACGGGTGCACAAATCGCAAGTTATGACTGGTCATGAACTTCATTGTAGTCGGCGAGGGCGGAGCAATTTTGTTGAAGGTCGTGGATATGTCGAAGAGAAAGAAGACCGCAACTGCGTTGCCGATGTTGTGGGAAGGGGTGATCCGGGAGATCAGTGTGCAGAGAGTGAATGCTTTGTGCATAGACAACATCGAGGTGAACAAGCATGCGGCCAGGCTGTTGAGGTGGCGAACAGATCTGAACATCTCACGATTCTATGGGTGCCATGTGCGGCTCATTGCCTCAACTTGGTTCTCAAGGGGATTAGCGACGAGCCATGGGTCCATGAGTTGTAGAAGAGGGGCAAAACCATTGTCAAGTGCATCAAGAATCACCACAAGATGGCGTAATTGTTCCTTGATGGCTCGGAGATAGAGCGGACCAAAACACTCATCATGCCCACGGACGTGCGCTTTGCCTCCGTGTATCTCATGTTGGAGAGGTTGTTTGAGAGTAAGAAGGTGTTGAAGAACATGATGAAGGAAGGGTGGTTCGAGTGATCTTCGAGGAAGAAGCGCAACATCGTTGATGCAGTCTACATAACAATTCGCTCGGAGAGGTGGAGGCAGTCGTGGATATCATGTACCCGGTGTACGATCTGCTGCGGAAGATGGACAAGAGCAGAACCGTCCCATATCAGTTGTGGGGGTTTGAGGACGCGTTGATAAAGCAGATGGCCACCATTACCAGCATCACACCGGCACGACAGGAGTCCATTGCGAAGAAAGTGAGGAAGCGCTGCAAAATGATGTGCCAACCGGTGCATGCAGCAAACCTTCTCTTCAATCCCGCGAAGCGGGACCCTCGTTGGTTGCACGACCCCAGGTGCCCGCTTGTGCAAAACGCCATGAAGTTTTCGTTGTCTCAATGCAAGGAGGGGGCGATATGGGGGTGCAAGGAGCATCTCCACCTGTGGGATGATATGAAACTGTTCCACAAAGAGCCACAGGGCAATTCGAGCCTGCCACTCGCAAAGCAAGACAGTTTGTGGACTGACTTTGCCAAGTTCGACAACAGACTCGACAAGCACACCGCATCAGCTTGGTGGAGCTGCCACGGGAAGAGTCACCCGAATCTGCAGCGCATTGCAGTTCGTGTGACTGCGATGTGGAGCACGACCACACTGTGCGAGCGCAACTGGTCCACTTTGGACCTTGTGCATGAGAAGAGGAGAAACCAACTTTCCAGTGACACAATAAACAAGCTTGTTTATGTGCACTGGAACCTCCAATTGTTGAAGGTGAAGAACAAGAAGGCGGAGGGCTTCATCGACATGTGGGCTGATTTCTTCGGTGCGGACGACCCTCTACTTGCTGCAGATCCTGTCATTCATCCCGACGATGCGCAGCCGTCAGCGGAAAAGGTGGCTCAGCGGGATCGCCTGAGGAAGGTGCCGTATGGGAGGCTTCCAAAGGTGGGGAGGGTGGATGAGTCCAGCGAGACCGGCAACAGCGATGATGGGGAGGATTTGGTATGGAGGGGGAAGGGGAAGAAAAGAAAGGAGAAGGAATGTTTGGATGTTGCACTAGAAGGGAATGCTAAAGCATGATTGGATGACGAATATTCTGGAGAAGAGGAAGAGGAGGAGGATCAAGATGAGGGTCTATGACCGAGTGGGGACTCAGACGAAGACTACGACGAGGATGATGCCGAGGACAAGGATGCCCTTGCAATGGGGCAATCGACACGTCACTTGGATAGTGACCTTGAGTTATTGTTGCCTTTTTCTGAAGCCCGACAGCGAGCCACAGATACTGATGACGAGGTTGTGCGAGCGATGGCACAAGCACTTGCAAAGAGAGATCATGCCATTGTGATGCAGCGTGTGGAGAAGGAGGCAGCGAGGCGTGTAACTGTTCCCTTTCAGACCGGAGAAAGAGGAGGGTACTTGGGGGAGGGACTCGATGCTGCACCAACGGAAACAGGAAGTGGGGCGCAAACTGCAATTGTGGCTACTGCAGCAGGTGGGCAACAAACCGAAGTGGCGGTGGGGGCCACAACATCCGGTTCGCAAACAGGACATAAGTTGACCGAAACGCAACAGCAACGTGAGAATACATCCGACGAACTGAACGAGGAAGAACAAGAAGACGGGCATGGTGCACGTGGCAGGCCCAATGTAGCGCATGTGTACAAGAGGCGGACGCATGAAGCCACTCCAGGCCCACCTCTCGCTGTGCCCACAGAAGAGTCTCAACCTGACTTCCCTACTTTGGTTGTTGAATTGCAGCACGACAATCTTGAGAAGAGCACGGTGGGAAGGAAGAGGAAGGTGGTGGAACAGGCTGCACCAATCGCTACAGCAAAGAGGGGACGGGGAAGACCTCAGAAACCACGACCTGAGACGGTCTGTCAACCGGAAGAACTTGCCCCTCAGAGACAGCAGAAATAGCGGCGGGCAAAGAAGAACCCCTATGTCATTGAAGATGATGGCGATGCCTCGGATCACTCGAGGGACAACAACAGCAGTGGCGACGACGACCCCCACTCTGACAATGAATGGCATTAGATGTTTAGAACTCATCCACAAAGCGAGAGAGAGAGAGAGAGAGAGAGAGAGAGAGAGAGAGAGAGAGAGAGAGAGAGAGAGAGAGAGAGAGAGAGAGAGAGAGAGAGATTGATATGAGTGTTCTCACTGTTCTTTCTATTGCAATTTCAAAAAGAATCCGGAGACTCTGCAACACTCAGCAGTCTGTATGCATGGTTTTCAGGGTTTGGAGTGTCTTGGCTTTCTTCACATGTGTGTCTATGTGTGAGTGCAACTGTGTGTGTGTATGTGTGTATATGCAAGTGTGTGTGCAAGTGTCTGTGTGTGTTTTTGCCGCCCCTAAACCCGGGCCCCTCCACCCAACAGCCCCTCC